TCAGCCGGAACGCGGCGGAACCGCGTTCCGGCACCTTTTTCCGGGCCGGCCGCACCGGAAATAGCCCCTCCCACACCGGAAATAGCCCCTCCCAAATTTTACTTGCATTCCTGTTCTCTAAAGGGGCGGTCCTAGGGTTTGATGAGGGCGTGGCCAGGTTTGAGTTCCGCTACCTTTTCTCCGAGAAAAAAAGCCCTGAATAAAGCTAAACATTTTTATCTACTGCTATATCAGTTAGAGAGTACATCATTATATTTAGTGTCAAGCAATTCTCCGGCACAGACTACTCTCTGGGATTCACTCACTCATGAGATCAGAACTAATCTGTCAGAAGCCCAATTTATTTTATATTTCTTTAGGCCTTCATTTTTGGGTTATGCTATTCTAATGGGGAGAGGGGAGACCTAAGGGTGTTCTGCAATATATTTCCTTTGCTTTGTTCTATCTTCTATGAAGTATCTCCCTTGAGGTGTGAATGTGCCTCCGGCCATCTGCCTTACCTTCAGGTGGAGGGGAAGAAGCCGCGGAGAAATCTAACAGCCTTGAGAACGGCACCTTATCGGTTCTTTCCTACAATTTAACACCTATGGATTGGCTCAGTTCAAACCAGCCAGATGGACAGTTGGGGTGAGGTTTGAAAGGGTTCTTTTAATGTAACATTTTGTGTGGGAAATCTTCAGATCCTGCCTACTATCTTGCTATCAATACCTTCCAATAAAAGTTCCTGTTGAGACAATGCAAGTTTCAAGAGTTCTGCTTTCTTGGAAGGTTTAACTGACACAGGTCCTTACATAACCAGAAAATCAGTCAATATTGTCTTCTCTTCCCTTGCATTCTATAGCTACCCAGCAATTAAATCCTTCTGAGGAAAGCTGCTGAGAATTTGTCCAGATATATAGCATGGGAAAGAGGATTTTCCTTTTCTATAAGTTCCAGGCTATGGAACGTACACTCTTGGGAACTAGGTTTGGCCCATTCTCTTTTAATACTTTTAATACATTTTTCTGCCAGGACTTTAAAGAGCTCATATTTGTGTTTTAATTTGTTGGGGCTTTGGGGTTTTTTTCACTGTACTTATTTTTAGTCTGTGCCCATGTCTTTTGTGTTTATTCCACAAGCTGCTTTGAATATCCCCCCCAAATAGAAGTGCCTTATAAATCTAATTTATTAAATAAAATAAATATAAGATATGTCCAGTTTGATTTAATGGATATCAGGCTATACACGTATGAGGAAAATAGGTGAAGGAATGAATATTAGCTATGTTCACTGCCTTGAGTTATTATAAAGGTTGGATAAAAATCAAATAAATAAATAATTTATTATTTAATGCATGGCAAAGTCAAGGACAATTGCTAATGTTCCAGATGAATGAATTATAAAAAAGCAGACTGTTTTGCCATGGGTTTTTTTGGGAGAAACTGGGATCCCAGCAAACAAGTGTAAAGGACGCTTGCTTTAAAAAAAACCTGTTAGTGGGATGGGAGGGAATAGAGGAAATAACAGATTCAATTGATCTTGGTAGAACAGAGCAGAAAATAGTGATGGAATGGAAGCTGGATAGCATGTTGCCTTTACATCCTCTGAACTGGGAAAGTGTTGAGACAACAATTCCAGCCAATGTGAAACCACCTGCCCCAGGCTTTGCAGGAATTCAGCAAAGGAAACTTCATTGCATTTCCTTTGGAACAGCAGCAGAACTGATGAACTTCATTGGCTCAGCAACATAAAGTTGGCTAGACAGCACCACTACATTGTGGGGAGAGGCAAGGATGCCACTGATTAGCACAGCCATTATGTTGGACAAGTCCTTTGATGAACATCAAATGCATAAATTTTATATTTGAAAAGTTAGAACACAAGAAATGTTGTCAACCTGTTCTGTGATGTGAAAAGCACTGAGAAGCTTCTATAGTTTCAGTAGCAGGCATATTCTTCTCTTGCAAGTTTAAACACTACTAGTATTAAACCTATTTCCTAAATCAATTCAACCATCTCATCTTAGGCAGTCTAACACTGGCATATATGAAAGACTGTCTTCTCTCATATGAAATATTGATTTCTGTAAGATATATTTCTGTAATCTATTCTATGATAATGGCAGCAGTGGAGATATTATATTTCACCATCACTACCTGTAGAAAAATCCCTACAATCTCAGAAATGTCAGTTCAATTATCTCTGCTGCATAGAAAAGTGAAATGAAGTTCAATTAATCTAAACTACATCAATCCAAAACAATGATTATGATAAAATGTTTTTGATCTAAGTTAATAGTACTGACACATTCCTTTGAATCTACCTTTTTAATTCTACAGCAGAAATATATTGTACTTAAGAAAAAAAATAAGAAAGGAACATTGGGATAAAAAAATGGGACTGGAGTAAACCTAACATCTATTCTGCAATAATTAAAATATCATTAACTTAAATAAAATAAAGGCGGGAAAACTGACAAGTAGAAAATGTTTCCCTCATAAATCACATACATTTTCTTTTTCTTCGTTATTAAAATATATTTCAATAAAGCAGGGAGAGTAAGAATTATTTGCTTAGAATATCCCTGTCTGAA